GGTTTGAAATATCCTGTCTTATCATTGGTTTGAAATATTCTTCTCATAGGTTTGAAATATCCTGTCTTATCATTGGTTTGAAATGTTCTTCTCATAGGTTTGAAATATCCTGTCTTATCATTGGTTTGAAATATTCTTCTTATAGGTTTGAAATATCCTGTCTTATCATTGGTTTGAAATATTCTTCTCATAGGTTTGAAATATCCTGTCATCATTGCTTGGAATCCCCACACGTTGGCCAATGGGGGGATGAATAGAAGATGAGATAAAGAAATGGTCAAAGGAATTATCAACGTATATTTCAAGTGATATCCTCCATTCGAAAAGTTGATTCACAACGATGCCCATTAAACCTTGATTTAATTTTCTGATAAAAGAATGGATGGAAATGGGGGAGGGGGTCGATTTGGAAACTAGATTAAAATCCTTTGTCTATTTAAAAGTTTTCTGCAATACTTTTGAGATGAGCTTTCTATAATTTCTTCAAACGAAGCTGAAATCTATTAAAATTCTCCGATACCAATTCTTTATAAATGGAAGTTCATTCCATTGAATTATCTTTTCTCGAATTGAATTGGGCTCTTAATCTTTAGAATTGATATGGAAGTTTCTATCTTGCATCGCTTTCATTCAGGGTTACCCGAAAAATGTAAGACTTCAAGGACAACCTGGCCTAACACGATTGAGTATCCAATTAAAAGTTTTTTTTTCAAAATTATTGTACATTCAATAAAAACTTTGTATAAAGCCTGCACTGTATTTCCATCGCTCAAAACTGAATTTACTCAGAAGTGTTTCTGATTTTAGAAAGAAGTTTAACCTCTTGTGGGATATTTCCAGGGAGCGGAAACGTCATGTATGTGTGTCAGTGTCTGTACCAAAAGAGTGCGTGTAAGTAATAACGAACCGAATGTGTGTACTGTAGGTATATACAGTACATAGAATCTCAGTATTTGTATAGTCTAGGAGAGTACATTTGTTAATTGTTAATTGTTTACTTAAAAATAAGTTTCATATACATGTAACATATTATTTATAACATTATAAGCAAAGAATATAATTTTATGAAAGTTTACAATAAACTACTCGTTATTCAAGCTTAATTATAATTGACGACATTGTTCTGCAATTTCCTTAACCTGTTTATTTATTTTGTATTTACATGTACGAGATATACTAGGGGAATTGTACAGTACGAGATATACTACGGGAATTGTACGCTGCTTAATATTCTTACAAAAGGGAGGAAAATTTCAGTTCCCAGGTAGTACAGTCACTTGATTCGATACTATGGGGCAAATAGATTCTAGTACAATTATAGATGGAAACGTAGAATTTGTACACTCTCAGTACTGTCAGCCCAGTTTTTGTGTCCAACAAAATTATTAATAAAAGGGATAATTTTAGGTTAAAGTGCTTATCTTACAGTAAAATAAGTTCAATTTTATGTGTTCTTTATTTTCTTTTTTTACACAATAATATTTATTCTTGGAAACATGTCAATGAATGTGAGAAAATTTCGTTTTCCTTGTCATATTTGACACTTGAGACGTCGTGTATAATTGGTCCATTTCTCTATTGCCACCTATTGTACTTTATAATCTATTTGCTATGTAGATGTTGTGCCATGAAACTGTAAAGATGTATTAAAGGGATGTTGCAACATGGAACTGTAAAGATGTATGAAAGGGATGTTGCAACATGTAAACTTTAAAGATGTATGAAAGGGATGTTGCAACATGTAAACTGTCAAGATGAATGAACGGCATGTTGCAACATGAAACTGTCAAGATGAATGAACGGCATGTTGCAACATGAAACTGTAAAGATGTATGAAAGGGATGTTGCAACATGGAACTGTAAAGATGTATGAAAGGCATGTTGCAACATGAAACTGTAAAGATGTATGAAAGGGATGGTGCAACATGTAAACTGTAAAGATGTATGAAAGGGATGTTGCAACATGAAACTGTAAAGATGTATGAGAGTGAAGAAACATAAAATGCAAACTTTATACTGCATACTTATTCAATACCAAGTATTTCTTGCAAAATGTTTCGACTCAATATAAATATAGTGGAATAACGTTAGAGAAAACTTTATTCTTAAAGGGTAAGTTGGCAAATTCAGAAATTAGGGTAGTTTTAATCATTTACAACTACTTTACAGGAAAGTTAAGAGAATTTTATTTTATCAAGGGTTCCAAAGACCAAATTTGACTTCAAAACATCCATATCGCAACGAGGGATGTTTTTTAGACAAAATTGGTCGAGGGAACACGTGGTTATGTAAAATTTGTAATTTTTACACAATTTTAACGTCTTTTGAGATGAAATTCTTCGAGCGGGTGGTTATTAACCTCCCTCTGGTTTGTTTTTCGATAAATAATTTAGTCTGAAATCAAAAACAATTTCAAAATAAAACTACAACCCTAAAAGTTGTTAACAAATTTAAAAACATTAAAGTTTTTATTTCTTTAATTTGATTAAAATCTTAAAGTGAATCGGACTTTCCAATTACGTCATACAGATCCTTAAAAGTTATTTATTTTCGCATTTAAACAGCAAAAGTTAATACCTGTAAAACCAGTTTTTTCTTGTTTACAAACTGAACCAGTTTTAGCAGGTTTGAATCATCTAAAAATATTCAATAAAGTCTTTTAAAAAATCTAACAATTTATGTGTTGGGTCACCATACATAAAAATACATATCAAAATGATAACAAGCATATGGGGGGGGGGTGCCGGGGAGCTACAGATAGGGTTTGCAGGGAAAAGGAATAATCGTTTCGCGAAAATTTCGCATTTTTCGCGAAAAAAAAATGTTTTGCGAAAATTTTCGCATTTTTTGCTTTTCGTTTGCTTGCGAAAAATGCGACTTTATTCGCAAAATTTTGCTTCCATCTGTTTCGCGAAAAAATGGGAAAATTTCGGAAAAAATCACGAAATGGGAAATTTTCGCGAAAATATTTTTGTGAATTTTTTTCGAGAAATTTCGCTTCATATATGCATTTTTCGCTTCATTCGTTTTCGCGAAATTTCGCGTAAAAGTATGCGAAATGCCAACGAAAATATTCGCATTTTTTTTGCAAAACATTTCGTTCACTGCAAACCCTAGCTACAGAGCGAACCATATTATATAAGATGCACTGTGGAGTAAAGCACAAAAATGGAAGAGTTTAAAATAATTCCTTGATGACGCATCTTCTTATTCGATTTTATCTTTTGTTTGTATGTCGGCAGTCAGGCCAAGCTTGTCTAGAAGTTGCAAAATTAGCCTTTAAAGTTCAGATCTAAAGTCCGGAGGCTAATGTTTAATATAAATAAACTCAAACTCAATTAGATCATTTGAACTTAAGTGAAGTAAAACTGTGCTTAAGATTGGATTTCTCTAACTCCATCATAAAGACTGTTGGCTCAGGATTAGGATTTGATTTATTATCTCAGCTTTGGCACGATATCTTTTTCAATTTATCAATCGAGAGGAAAAAGAAATTCTTCTAAATTCTTTTATACTTTTCAACATCTGATGATTTGCAGGAAGACAAAATCTACAACTTTATTGTGCACAATCTACTTTTTAAAATTTTCATTTACAAAAGTAAAAATCTAGATTTGAGGGACTTTTTTGTAATTTCAACAAAATCTCCATGTAAAAAGGGAAATATCTGCCCTATCAATAATGAGGAGTAAATTTTTCTTTCTGTGATTCAAAAAAATATATGTTTATTTATTCATTTTCTCCATTGTTTCTGAAGCAGATAAATCACAATAAAAAATATCAACTTTTAACCAAGGAACTAATGCAAGGAAAGTTAATTGCGGTCGCGTGTACTCTGCGTACATATTGAAACCAGTTCTCTTTAGGCGGAATTTGTAAACAAGAATAGATGCATCAGTGTTCGTTTAGTATCCAAGGAGGTTAAAAGCATTTAATTTTGATAATTTTGAAAATTCACATAGCAGTTTCCTATGACCAGAATATTTCATAGATTATTTTTGTGAAAATGGATTCCATGTCAGGCTGTGACATCTGTCTTGTGTTTACTTTTCCGCCCAAAGGCAGTTCACTGCAGTACAAAAAATACGTAATCGTCTGAAAATAACTTTCCTTGCATAAGTACCTTGCTTTTAACGAGAAAAAATGGATATCTCATTCATTCAGGATCAGACAAAGATTTTAAAAGTACCATTGTGAATCGGACATGCAATACTAATGAAGGTCATTAGTCCCTTTTAGACGTTAATAAATCCATAAAAGATTGATTTGAATATTTTTAGATAAATATGAATAAAAACTATTTGAAAATTCAACAGGATGACTAGAAAATAAGGTTTTATGAAAAGGTAAAATTTTATATTTTTTTATTATTTATTTTATTTTTTAACTATTTACCGATTAAATGAAGATCAATCTCAGTCTCTAGTCCAGGAATAAACTAGAAAAATAAGTAAATATTAATAGATTAGAAAGGTAATTAAAATTTTGCAGTTTCAGCAATACGTAAGAATCAATTATTGTAGTCTTTTTTTTTCCATTCGCAAAGAAGTCAATCTTGGGCGTTTTTTTTGCTCGGCTTTGTTTTGGAAACCACTGAATTATTTCCTAGATTACCAGTCAATACTTAGATTTTGTGAATAATAAATGTCACTCTTTTCGTGAATATTCTTCAAATTATGAAAAAATATTAAAATTAATGCGCAAAATCACAAAGATCCGGGCTGCCATGAATTTTCAAACTTGAGTTGACTTTTTAATCTTTAAAATATTTAATTTAATTTTTTTGTTTGAGACTTGTTTTTTCTTTAAAGCTTTAGTTTTTTAGCCAAACTAGTTTTTTTTGAAGTGATTGGCCAACATCTCATAGATTTTGGCGTGAGAGCTGGTAACCTTTTAATCACTGTGAACTTGATAAATACTTTTCCTTATATTATACCTGCAATAATAAACAACANCTATCTATCTATCTATCTATCTATCTATCTATCTATCTATCTATCTATCTATCTATCTATCTATCTATCTATCTATCTATCTATCTATCTATCTATCTATCTATCTATCTATCTATCTATCTATCTATCTATCTATCTATCTATCTATCTATCTATCTATCTATCTATCTATCTATCTATCTATCTATCTATCTATCTATCTATCTATCTATCTATCTATCTATCTATCTATCTATCTATCTATCTATCTATCTATCTATCTATCTATCTATCTATCTATCTATCTATCTATCTATCTATCTATCTATCTATCTATCTATCTATCTATCTATCTATCTATCTATCTATCTATCTATCTATCTATCTATCTATCTATCTATCTATCTATCTATCTATCTATCTATCTATCTATCTATCTATCTATCTATCTATCTATCTATCTATCTATCTATCTATCTATCTATCTATCTATCTATCTATCTATCTATCTATCTATCTATCTATCTATCTATCTATCTATCTATCTATCTATCTATCTATCTATCTATCTATCTATCTATCTATCTATCTATCTATCTATCTATCTATCTATCTATCTATCTATCTATCTATCTATCTATCTATCTATCTATCTATCTATCTATCTATCTATCTATCTATCTATCTATCTATCTATCTATCTATCTATCTATCTATCTATCTATCTATCTATCTATCTATCTATCTATCTATCTATCTATCTATCTATCTATCTATCTATCTATCTATCTATCTATCTATCTATCTATCTATCTATCTATCTATCTATCTATCTAATTATCTATATATCTACCTATCTATCTATCTATCTGTCCATCTATCTATCTGTCCATCTATCTATTTATCTATCTTTCTATCTATCTATCTATCTATCTATCTATCTATATATCTATCTATCTTTCTGGCTATCCTATTTAAAGAATCAGCTTCAAAATAAAAAAATTGAATATATTTCAGAATCTCGCTATACATGATGTTTGAGTAGATTAATATCTATCTATCTTATATATATGTACAGCAATAAATTGGAAAATTAATCTTTGTTTTGCTTTATTGTAGAGAGCACTGTATCTATAGCATGTTGGATACACAATGATATTACCAATGAAAAAACAAGATATTTTCAAAAGAAAATAAAAACTTAATTTGCACAGTGACCGCGAATGTAAATTATTTATTTAAACTATTCTTATTCGTTTAAATAATGAAGAAGTTCTGGGTTGAACTTTACAAATTAAGAAACTTCCATTCTCCTCCAGGTTTACTTTTTTACAAACTTTTTAATTACATATATCTATCCTCATCCATACATAATATATGCCAGCCAATCTCAGATATAAGGATACATAGCAAGAGCGCATGAAATGTCGTCTAGAAATCATTTAAATGTTTATGACAGCTGTTTTGCTTTATCATTGTTCTGCACATGGAGAAAACTGATGAGATGTTTGCAGGTTCAAAGGGTTGAATACGAATTATAAAATTATATCCACATTTTATTGTTGAGAGTAATTCGATAACCTTCTATATAATACAGCTCTTCGCTCATATATATGTAACAAATGCCTTTAGTTCTTTAAGTTTGTATTTATCCAGATACTACCCTCTGTATTCTTTAGTATGTATCTCTCTCTGTATTCTTAAGTATGTATCAATCCAGATACAACTCTCTCTCTCTGTATTTTTAAGTTTGTATCAATTCAGATACAACTCTCTGTGTATTCTTAAGTATGTATCAATCCAGCTTCGACTCTCTCTGTATTTAGGTATGTATCAATCCAGCTTCGACTCTCTCTGTATTTAGGTATGTATCAATCCAGATACAACTCTCTCAAACTCTATACTCTTTACCGAGAGCTAATACGTCTGACCGTAATAAAACAGATTTCATATTTAACTAACTATATTTTGGTATAATGTATAATTAAGATTAAACTGACTGATAATACGGTCAAGTGATCAAAACATAATATATATATATATACATGTATGGTTCAGGTTTACAAGATATGGGGTTTATTACTATATTTATTAAATATACATATATTTATATGATAGTTATAGCTGGCCAAACAGCTCGACCAAATAGGCTTTTTGAGGGAACCCTTCAGTATCCTGGCTATCATAGGCTAAAAATTCAAATTTTTTTTTAATCTTGTTTTTTAGATTAGTTTTTAGTTATATTGACAAATATTGGATTCAGATAGTTATATTTACAAATATTGGATTCAGATAGTTATATTGATTAAGAACACAAATTAGGAATTCTACAGAGAAAATTAGGAATTATAAAAAAAATTAGGAATTATAAAGAGAAAATTAGGAATTATAAAGTAAAATTAGGAATTAAAATGAGAAAATTAGGAATTATAAAAAGACTAATTAGAAATTAGGACTAAAGTTTTGAATTACTGTTTCAATTAAAATCAAATTTTGTGAAGATTTTAATTCATGAATAAATAGATAAATATTAAAAAATTTTAATTGCTAAACAAACATTGGAATTGATATTTTAGAGACGATTATGTTTTATGTTTTCTTAATTGTGAGATATTATTTTGATTAATTTTCAATCTTATTTACTTAAATATCTTTCGGTGTCTTAATATCTGAATATTTTCCATTTACGGAGTTGGATAGAAAAATTACATTTATTAAAAGATTTGAATAAAAAACATTTAAAAAAATATATTTTGTTTACCTTTATTTCTGCTGGAGACAGATTAATTTTATTCATTTTTTATTATTCTAAAAATAAAATTATCATTAATAAATTTCCTAATAATTTTTATATTATTTAAGGCCTACTTTCTAGCGACCCTCGAGTCAAAAATCTCACTGCATAAATCTGCTTCTGACGTAAGATTAAGAAGGATGTATTCTTTTTATTAACTTCAATGTTTCTGCTAAAGAAATCCGCCAACACAGCTCATCATAAAGTTGGATATAAATATTTATGTATATATATATATATATATATATATATGTCTTAGTGTTGATATGGAGTAAATCTATACATTGTTAAGAACTAGATGCAGTACTCAATGCATTGCAGATTTATGTTTTCATATTCCCGCATTTCCCCTTTCTGTGGAATATTTTAAATAAATACAAAATCAATATTTTGTTTGATATGACGGATAGTTGAGTATTGGGAAACTAGGGATTCGTAAACGAAGTTTAAATAAATATATTTCTACATTTATTTATATTAATTAGTAATCTCTGTTTGTTTGTTTGTATGTCCGATCATACCTCAGGAAACCCTTTGACTATAACGCCTCAAATCTTGATTGGGAAACTCATCTATGGCGCGTTCAGACTTTTTACAGTACCCTAGGCCTATTTGACCTACCCTACTGGCCTAGTCCACCGTGAGGAAACGAAATTTTCCGTACATTGGAGCGCATTAAGAGTAAGCAACCTTATTATGCAACCTTGGGTCTGTCAGTCCCATACTTAGATACTTGATTTAGCCTGCAAACTTCAAAACTGCTGAAATATATATTACAGTGGTATATAACTGAACATATGATCTACAGAATATCTGAACATAATACAGCTTATCTAAATATATTACAGATTAACTAAATATATTACAGATTAACTAAATATATCACAGATTAACTACATATGTCACAGATTAAATAAATATATCACAGATTAAGTAAATATATTACAGTTTAACTAAATATATCACAGATTAAGTAAATAAATATATTACAGATTAAATAAATATATTGCAGACTAACTAAACATAGTACAGAGCTGAAAACTTTAGAATGAAATATCCAGATATCCCGTCGAATAATTAATCTGAAGTTTAAAATCATGCAGAGTTACTGTAATATTTAATCTCGAAATTTATGAAATTATGAGATTGTTGATATCCACCATTCTAAAGTTTTCAGCTCTGATTAACTAAATATATCACAGTTTAACTAAATATACAGCAGATTAACTAAATATATTACATATTAACTAAATATATTACAGATTAACTAAATATATTACAGATTAATTAAATATATTACAGATTAACTAAATATATTACAGATTAACTAAATATAGTACAGATTAACTAAATATATTACAGATTAGCTAAATATATTACAGATTAACTAAATATATTACAGTTTACCTAAATATATTACAGATTAACTAAAATATTACAGATTAACTAAATATATTACAGATTAATTAAATATATTACACATTTTTTGTCGGTGCATAGAATTGTTAGCTCGAACATTACAATTTTCAGTCCAGTTAAAGAAAAAAAAATCCTTTAAAATATCCTATTCTGACGCGATAAAAACTTTGCTATTTGTATTCATATTCTAGATTTCTTTGATGCTGCGACACTGTCTGTTTTGAAAATATTTGTTTTTCTGTGTTTATATTCTGTTTACAACCTGATGCATAAACCAGTTTTTTGGACAGTTTTACATCTCAAGTTGCATTTACACACTGCAATCAAACATGTTTATTCTCCTATAAAGGATATATTACACTTTCAAAAATATTTTTGAAAAGTCACCGAAATTCCACAAACTGTTTTCAGCAAACTTTTCGGGAAATTATTTTTTTCATACTTTGATAAAATTCCCGCATTTATGTGATAATTCTAAAACGGAGAACTTTTTAAATTTTTTAACAAAATCTTAATAAATTAATCACAGTTTGAACGCATAAATAAAAAGTGATTTTCACTTTGAAACTAGAAAAAAATTTTAAATTCTGAATAACTTTGTATTTCTGCATTACTTGCAACATTCAATATATAACATGGTCTGCTCTTGGCTTGTGCAATGTCTGTTACAGGCATTTATTTTTAACCTGCATTCCCAATTATTTTTTAGCAATGTGCAATCTGGATATTTGGTGAGATAAATTAGAGCTATTTTTATTTTTTTTACATAATAAGTTTATAAGCTTTAGTTAAAAATCAAAACAAATGGAAAAAAATTGTTTTAGGTTCGATTAAATTAATTTTCACAACTGGTGGTTCATCATTGCATAATTATTGAAATCAATTTTGTTATGGCTCTAGCAGAAACACAGGGCGGAATCTAAAATTTGATGCGATTAAGCCCTATCCGTGGAAAACAGCTGACGTATTTTTTTGCGATCTCTCATTGGCCGACAGAAGTTTTGTTTTTGAAATCTGATTGGTCGAATTTCTACAACAAAATTCAAAGGGTGCATGCCTTTGGAAGAAGTTTTTAAGCAATATAAGATCCAAATATTTCTCAGATATTCGTTCTACGTTTAGACAGTCATTTTTAGTAAAATAAATAGACTTACTTTAAAGGGACTGTACACGTAATTTCAAACGATTCTTCACTGCAAACTAGGCACGCACCTCTGACCCTTTAGTAAAAGTAAATTCAACCTAAAGTCTGACCGCGTCAACCTTGTTGCAACCGGCTAGTCCTTTTGAGTGTTTGCTTTATTTACCCAATGTCCGGGCGATAGAGTACAAACTGGGACCGGAAAGGTTGACCCGGCTTGGAAATTCAAATGTACTACAGCTGCCCGTGAATATTACGTGCAGTTTATATTAGGTTAACGTGCACCTGATATCTTGACTAAACTGAGGGAGTTATCCCTTTCTTCTCTCGTTATTCAGATTATTTTTATCTTGGGCCTGGGGGTTCTCTGTAAGTGACTTGCGGATAAATTCAGTAGGAGAGAAAGAAAGAAATTGTTAGAATTGGACACTTTTTCAGATAGAAATACGAAGATATCTTCCTCTTTGATGCTTATATAAGTATTTCAGGTGTACTCTATATATTGAGGATCAAGTGAAATTCCGTTAACAGTCCCTTTTCTGCGAACTAATTCTTGGCTTCCAGCAGCTGTAGACTTGTTAAATTTTTTATCAAATCATAAGTTTATATCACATTCATAAATAAGACCGATAAATATTTAGAAAATTAAATTCAACGAAAAATTTTTATTGCTTACAAATTTAAAAGTTTTAAGAAAGGATCTATTGAAACATAAATTTTAATCAAATATTAAAATTTAAATTAAATTACGATGAATAGATTTTTGTACATACCGTATACCTATGCATGTAATACTTTTTTCATCTAAAATTGTATTGTCACGGGTTTTGAATGATGTATGCCAAGAGTAGGAATTTTTCTTATAAAACTTTTAAACCTTCAAAGAAAATTGTAAATTTAAGATGCATGAATTTTAGACACTGAATTATTGAAACCTTATACTGACTTTTTTCTTTCAGTGTATTTTACATATTGTATATTCGTATAGGTCATTTAGATGCAAATATTATTTTTTTATTAAATATATTATTAAACTCAACATGTCCTTGAAATAAACTGGAGTTTACAGTGTTCTAAACCTTCAAAAAAAAAAATATTAAAAACTTATTTATCCGAAGATTTTTTCAGGAAGTGAAATCTCTGTACATACATTTAATTTTATACTGTTTTGAACATTTTATTGCATTATTAATAAATATTTTTATTATTAGGTTTAAGGTGTTAGTTTTAAGAGATTATTTCTTTACTTAAATTTGGTTTCTTTTGGTTTGAAAAAGAGCTCTTACTCTGATTTTGCAGTTTGCAGTCTGAACCTAGTTTGATAAATAAAAGAATGTCTGTATATTTGTTTCCAAGCTTTTGAAATGTCAAAATAGATTTGCAACGGAAGAAATACCTTTTTATTTTCTATTTATATTTGCTCAATAATAATTTTTCAGGAAAATCTATGATTACGAAAATAAATTACATTTGAATTTTCGGTATTCGGAAATTTTATAGTAAGTGTCCTAAATATAGGATATTTCCTAGACAAGACATATCATAGACAGGGCTTCATATAGACATATGGGATATTTCCTAAACAAGACATATCATAGACAGGGCTTCGCATAGACATATGGGATATTTCCTAGACAGGACATATCATAGACAAGGCTTCACATAAACATATAGGATATTTCCTAGACAAGACATATCATAGACAGGGCTTCACATAGACATATAGGATATTTCCTAGACAAGACATNACACCTGCAGTATGGAAACAGTATAACAAAATGGCCGTTTAACACTTTTTTCTAGTAAATTCCTCTTTAATCTATATTCTATTTTCTTTGTATTTATGTTTAAGGAAGTACGTAAGTATAAGTAATGATCTATTAAAGATATAAAACAAAAACATACAAAATTAAGTAGAAGAAAATATTTTAAACCTTCAAAAATAGAGGTTGAGGGAATATTTTGCCCAAATTCTAAAAATAAAGGAAAAGGATAGAAAAGGAAAGGAAAAGAAAAGTTACATATTTATTGTTTACATTATATCTAATATAACCGGTGGTGGATTGTTAGTATTTTTCAACGATTAACTAACAACTTTTAGAAATAAAAATTATAGATTTATTTGCAACTAGGCTTTTGTGGCGCTTCGCGCCCATTATCTATTTCAATTGTGTACATGTTCTTTTTGTAAACATACTAAAATTCGCGGATATAAAATAATAAACTTTTAAACACAAATTTTTAAATTTCTATCATTCATAAACTTTCCCTGGGATAACGCGAGGTGCCACTTAAAATTTGGGCCCGATCGGTTCAGCCGTTTTGACGTTTATTGGATACAAACAGACAAACAGTCAAGCCAAATTTATATATAGATAGTTTTTCTACATAGCATGAAATAGCTATGACAAAAGACTGTAATATTACGCGTGCAAAATTTATTTCCAAACTTACTTTATTCTTTAAGACAAGAATTTTACTTTACGGACTCTTTAACCATTAATCAAACTTTACAGTGTTTATGTTTGTGATTTTTTAAGTTTACTGTCCCTTTAAGACTATGTTTACGTTTTTAAAGAAAATTCTGTTTTGAATTTTGAAAGAGTGTATTTTTCCTCCAGCGTTTTCCATAAAACCTGTTTCACAAATATGAGGAAATAAGCTCCAAAGTATACTAACTCTTCTCTTTG